GTTTTTTGATGATGCAATTCACATTTTCTTTCAGCCAAAACCTCAATCCCTTGAAGCACGTGATGGAAGAGAAATTGTCCTCGAAGCGCGCAGAAATTTTGCTAGCATCCAAATCAGCACAACGAACGTCTGCTGTTATAACCTCCACTGAATGGACCTTCAACAAAATTTCGCCATTAAAAAATTAAATTATGGGTAAAATTATTTCTAAGGTAAGATTTAGATATTTACCGAAAATTCGGGATGTTCTTGAAGCCACATGTTTGCCTTGGCGAGCAAAACCGGTAAGTTTCGATGTCGCAGCACTTGCTTTTGATTGCCGCGCCGTTCTTCTTCATTTATTGAACCAGGGTAAAAGTCTTGGAAAGCAAAAGGACACTCCGCGCCAATTTCAACTTCTGGAAACTAAAAGAAGATAATCAAACTAGTTCTCGGGAACACATAATCCCTCGCATTTTAACGTAAGAAAACGCTTCTCGATTAGTTTCCACAGCGCGCATGTTTATATTTAAACGTTCAAAATGAGATTCATGGAATGTGGCTGTTTTAAGGCTACTGCTGCTCTTGTGTAATATGTTCACTGGGTTTTCTTTACTATGGATAAAATTAATGACCATACTCCACTTCAGCATTTTTCAAGTTGACGATTTTTCCGCACGAAGAGTAGTTTCATCGTTAATTTTTTTAATTGAATAAGCTGTGATGTCTGTGCTTACTCGAGAAACCCACGTACAGTACATTTCCTTCCAAAATTTAAAATCAAAAAGAAGGTTCCGCATCATATTTCAGTATAATAATTTCCTGGAAAATTTCCAAAATTCTTTTCAGCATTATCTTTGGATCACATCACTGAAAATTCACACATGAGAAGCAGAGGATGAGAATATAATTTCTTATCTATGGAAGTATAAATTTATAATCACCAGTTTTCACTGAAAACTGAGGTAGATATCTTATGTGGAGATACTTTCTCAAAACTTCATTTCACAGTTGTAACTTGGTATGCACCTCGTATGCGAGGCCGTTCGTTAAAATGAAGTACAATAAATGCAAAATGTCGCCATTAAATCTATGACATAAGTCAAAGGAGTAAAACAATGTCAAACTGCTGGTGCTAAGACAGAGACTATTATAGTGGTGCTAGTTCATAATTTCTGAGCTAGAGTATTTTCATTCCTAATTTTTTCCCATGCACTTGGTTCAAGGCTCAATTGTTTTTTGTTTTGTTCAAAACCACCGTGTAATCTTTTTTTTTATGCACGCTCAGGTTCATTTGCAATCTGATAATGAAACCCGTTTTACCCAAAAGATGCTGGCTACAATGCAGCCGCCATAAACATGCGAGCATAAAAATGCCCTGTTCATGTGAGAGGAAAGTAATCTCTCCTTTTCTTTATCCACAAAAAATTGAACTACGATAAAAAAAAATCAGTGTGAAATGAATAAAAAAGGAGAAGATTAACTTACTTGAGTCGCAGCGTGA